AAAACACATGTATTAGGAAGCGAGTTTAGTTTACCATAATGTTATTTTTAGTATGATATAAGAAAGAAGTTATATGAATATGGTGTATTTTTATTTTATTTTTTTTCTTCTTCTCTTTCTCTATGTTTGATTTACCTGTTGTCATGAGGGCTGACTTGATGGCGGCAGGTGACCAGTCGGGATGAACTGCTTTGACATAGGCAGCAGCACCACTGGCGTGAGGGCACGACATGGATGTACCCGAGACGATATTGAAGAGCATGCTGCTTTGGTCGTCAACATCGTAGCCAAAAGGGGACCACCCAGCTAGAATGTCCAATCCCGGGGCTGTCACGTCAGGCTGGTTTTTTTTTCCGTACATCAAAAAAGTTAAAACGAAAAGAGTGAGCAAAATAAGGTAAAGAAAGAAAATGTATCTTTATGTTGAGAATATTATTCTTTGGGTATCACCTTGAGAATGTCAGGGGAAATTAGGCTGGGCCCTCTGGAAGAAAACGAAGCAACGATTGGAGCCATCGGGTCTTTCCACTCGTCACTGTAGAAAATAGTCGCCTCTGGTTTGCTGGAAAAAAGGAAAATGAGAGGAAAGATCGTTCTTGATCAATAATAAAAATAATGGATAATGAAGGGAAGTAGGCCAAACGCATTTACTTTGTGACTCTGATGTATTCGAGAACTCTGTCTCCATCTCGTGTGTCGACCACTGTGGTTGGCAATGGCCAGCTGAAGGCAATGTCCCGGTAGGCCGAGGACATGTCAGTCATGATAATTCCAGCACCATTCGCGTACATAACCCCCGAGAAATCCATGCTTTCGCAGTACACAATTTTTCCATACACTTGATCCGCATTCATAGTGCCGGCTATGCACTTCCTAGAATTCCTGGGATAGTATCCGCTCGTGTAGTTTGCCACATCCCCTCCCCATATTAGCGGGTACGTAGTCCCGTTGTCATCGAACACATTGATAGCAATCCCCTGAATCCACACCTCACAGTTTATTTTATTGTGCATAACACATATTATTTATAAATATTAAGTAGTTGCTGTGGTTTGACGACTTACGTAGAAGTATTGACCGTTTCCTAGCTCCACGCGCGCCACAAACTTCCTGTCGATCGAGCTGGCACCAACGGTGAGCATCCACGGGGCAGAGTTGGTGACCGTTTTAAGTTTCGGGCCATCATTCCCAGCCGAGCCCGACGTCAGTATTCCATTCCTCATCGCGTGGAAAGACCCGATGGCTATTGGGTCGTCCGAGTAATCAAACTGTTCATCCGACCCTAGCGAAACCGAGATGATGTCGACCCCATCTGCAATCGCATCATCAAAGGCCTTGAGGATGCTAGCTGAGTCACACCCAATCCCGGCCCAGCAGACTTTGTAGACCGCTATCCTTGAGCCCGAAATGCCCCTGGCCTTGCCCTGGCCCAGCCCGAAGAAGTTTGCACTGTCCACCTGGACTCCTGAGGCAGTGGATGCTGTGTGGGTCCCGTGCCCGTCGGTGTCCCGTGGGGACGGCATTTCTCCCAAGAGGTAGAGGTCGTAGCTGTTGTAGTAACGGGCCCCGATGATCTTGCTGGAAAGAGATTAAGGAAATTTTGTGATAATCTGAACTGTCTTAAAATTTTGGTTTAGTGAGCTTTGAAATTTAGTGTGTGCTTACTTATTGCAGGTGAAGTTGTGGGTTGTGCAGGTGCCGTTCCATTTGGCCGGTGGAGGGCCGAAACCTTTGTCGTTGAAACTCGGGTGCTCGGGCCAGACTCCTAAGAATATATATAGACAAACGGCAGAAAAAAGGATCATTTAGGAGAAAATAAAGCTGAACAAGAAAGTAGTTAATTGAGCTACCGGAGTCGAGAAAGCCAATGATGACATCAGAGTTGGTGGAAGGTCCAAGTTGGTTCACGGTGAGATTCATGAAGTCCCACGACCTGGTCGTGTGAAGCTTGTATTTACGGCTTGGTTTTACCGAGATCACTCCTTCCATTTCTACATCAAAATTATGCCTGTTAATTTAATTTATATCACTGCTTCCATTTCTACATCTTAATCATATTTTGATTTGAGATATACTCACCTGAAATCCGTGCAGCTTCCACCTCTGTCAGCCTGGCTGCGAAGCCGTTAAAACTTCTCCAGTAACTGTACACTAGCGAGTCTTTGGCTGATGAGGCACTGAAATATTCAGTACAGAGGTCAGAGGTTTTCTTATTTTACATTAATTCCTTCGAACGTTCAGAGACTTCGAAAATCTGGATCGTGCTCAAATTTTCGGTATGCGACGATAGGATAATCGTCTTATCTACTGATAGTTTTGATTGTTAAATCCTAGATATGCATGTCATGCATGTCACCACATTTTAATTCACCTACTATAAAGAGTCAGGAAAATTGAGAACAATGCTTAGTAATTAGTATGTTACTAATTAATGAATGAGGCAACATTAGACATTCAATATTACTTTCTTTCATTATCAGTAATGATCCCACTTATTATTTAGCTGACTTGAACTTTAAGTATAACCAATCCTTTTGAACGTTTTACTGCATAAAAGCCAAAAACAAAAGCCGGCAGAACAACCTTCCGAGTGATTTATGCAGCATCGTGTAATGTTTGTTTGCCGCAAATGCGTGTTCTTGTGGCCTACCTCCCATGTACACAATGTAAAGCTGCAAATTAAAGTTGATAAGCAACTCTGTTGAGAGAGAGAGAGAGAGAGAGAGAGAGAGTAATGTGCATGCCTTCCTTTCTTGGCAGTGGCAGTTCAGCACAAGGACTGAAAGCAACAAAAAATAGAGAAGAGAAAATGTGTCAGCCTTAGCCATTAGGAATAAATTTGTCTTGAAAGTTGAATGTTTGTGTTATATGTCCTAAAGACATGGTGTTTATATAGGTGGTAGCATGGCTGATTTTGGAATCATATAAGTTTGATGGACAGATGAACTGTAGTAGCTGCTTTTGTATTATAAGAATGTTTTTTTTTTTTTTTTTTTNTTATGTTCTCTCTATTATCAATTCATCATTCAATTTATGTTAAACAATTACTATATGTGTATTTACTAAATAGTTTTGAGTTTGTAACAAATTGTAGTGGAAAACTTGAGAAGAAGCCTTCTTAACTGGAGATGTATGAAGAGTAATTCTACTAAGATGTAATAGTAATCCTGTAATTTTAATATCTGATAAATTTGAAGATAATTTTAGCTGAGAATTCTAAACTTTTATGGGGACGTTGAAAATTGAAGATAATTTTAATTTGATCAACAATTTTTATAATGGACAAAATTGAGAACAATTTTATTTTTTATTTAAAAAAATAAAATGAATTCCGACTTTAAATTTAATATGTCACGTGCGTGTATGACGTGTCAACTTTTGACAAAAAGAAAAATCGTTTAAAATTTGAATTTGGGGCCAAAATTGCCCCAAATTTGGTTAATTTTAAAAATTAGAGGACTACAACTTTTTATATATATAATAATAATTTTCCTTATGAAGCCAATATCATTTAAATTTTGATAGAAGACATCTCACTTTGGAATTATTTCCACACTACGAACGAAATGAAAAGCTGGATTTAAAAGTAATAATAAAATGACGGTTGTTAAATATGATATAATTTGGAAACAATTCAATTCAAGTGTGCATAATATTTTTGGACACAGTTAATAATACACACTTATCGTGGGGCCATAAGTGAGTCATACCTCATGTTATATGACATGTACACGACTACTCGGTACACCATCGTCTACAAAAATTATATCCACAAATCATTATCCTTCAATCTAGTACCTCAATTCTACATATTTATATTTTGATATCATGACTTTTTTATTTTTTATTTTTCTATCACATATGTTGGGCCTGTTGATCGAATTTGGTATTCTCCTTCAGTTTTACATATTTATATTTTTTATATCATGAATTTTAATTTTTTTTTTTATATCATATGTTTGGTCTTTTGATCAAACTTCGTAATTTGTTTTTTGTCCAACGACAAAATTATATAAAACTGAAAAAAAGAAAAAGTGAGTACAACCGGAATGTCAACTGACACCACAGAGACCAGGACTAGCCTGAATCCAAATTCCCTTGGACTTACACAGGCGGCCAAAGGAACCGCTTACAACCGAAACACTTCCAAAACAGAAAACAACAAACTCCCAACACAGGAGATGTAACCCGACACAAATGGAACTAAATGAAAACACAAACAAAAAATAAAAACAACACACCTAAAAAAGTAAAATACACCCTCCCCTACTTTCAGAGGGCGTCTGGCACTGCTACTAGTCCAAAATACACGCGCCCGTCTTCAAATCAAAAGACGAAGAGGGATCAACAGATCTATAGCTCCCAAACCCATAAACTTCAATCACTCGAACGACTATGCAGATCTGGCAGGGAGCCAGACTCAAGCTCAGATCTAAATTTCCCAAAAACCCCTAAACCGAAGAGAGACCCGAAGCCCAAGGAGCTCAAGCCTCGCCGGCGGGAACCGCCACCACCGAACCCCACCCAGGCCGAAAAGAGGCAATTGGAGACCTCTTTCTCGCCTAGGTACAGTCCGGTGGTGGCGGCTCCCGCTAGGTCACCGGCGAGGCTTGAGGCTTTTTGGGCTTCGGGTCTATCTTCGGTGTAGGGGCAGATCTGTAAGCTCACACCTTTTGTTGATTTTTTTGCAGGGTGTGAAAGGGAATGAGTAACATAAACCGATAAAGCGAACGCCTTACCGGTTTCATCATCAAAAGTCGAGTTTTTTTATGGAGACCCGTGTCACTCACTCACACCTTTAGTTGACACATAAACATCATTATTTTTCTACTTTATCCATATATAAACTCGGCCTTCAAGGCTTTAGAAAACACATCGAAAATCCATCAAAATATGCTAAAACAACTTTCTTCCTAATAGGCTAATATACACCACATGCACATTTTCTTTTAATTATTTATTTTTTAATCTCTTTTTATTATTTGGCGATCTATCCCTCAGCTACCATAATAACCTATTGTCATGTTTGATCTTTTCTCAAGTAGATAAGTCTAGAAATGTTCTGTTATCAATGTAATACGAATCATAAAACACCGGGTATAAGCCTCTATTTTTCTCCTGCAGTTACTCCATACTCCTTAAATTACCAATTAAATTCGCTCTCTTTATTGCGGTTGATATCGAGTGTAAACATACAATGACGGCAGGGGCGCCTCCCTGATTTTTTTATAAATATACATATAAAAAGAAAATACTATAAAATATGGGTAAATATGCAAACAAAAAATTTTAAAAAAAATTACAATATATAAATAATTAAAACTTATTTTCTATGTTATTTTAATTTAAATTAATAGTATTATTTTTTATTAAAAATATACTAATAATCCTTATATTTTATATTCTTAGATCAGTATTTTAAAATATATATAATTATTTACTCTTTCAGCCTCTTAACTGTAAACCGATTTAGTGATTTATAAAATTGAGTATTTAGTTGAACTGTTAAATTTTTTAATGTTATTTTTTTTTTTACTTTATTTTTTTGTGTAGTAACATATTTTTAACTTTATTTATTTTCTTATAAATAGTCATTTGGTAAGCTCTCATCAACTAAATGCTACAGTGTGTTGTAAAAGTTCAATTTAAATCAAATTTCAACCAAAAAACTTATTTTTCATAAATTATAGATGTTAAACATAAATTATCAATACATGAAATCTAATTTTTTTTTTTTTATAGTTTGAGGGTGATACGAATTCTAAGTTTCTAAAAACTTGATGGTACACATATCGATATTTATATTTATAAGTAAACATATTTTTGTATGAAATGAACATTTCGACTTATAATGCAAACTCATTATTTAACATTTAAAATTGAGTCCCCTGAATAAAATTTTTAGATCCGTCACTATCACATGTATAAAACTCAATGGGTATTAAAATCCATTAAAACGAATTTTGTATAAAAAATAATAATCTTCGGACTTAAAAAATATAATTTCCCAACATAGTTATATATATGCCTTGTTTTGTTCTTCTCCCCCATTATTTTCTTCTTCTCCTTATTTTCATCATCATCTATCATATTATTATTATTATTATTATTTTGAACTACAGGACGATATATCAAAGGAATATGGACCTCCCACTTCTGTACGATATAGGTTGATTGATATCAGTCTTAGGTAATATTACCTTAAGGGCGAATATACTTTACCTCACTAAGATTGGCCTATAATTTCAAGTTTTCACGCCAAATTAAATAGTAGAATATTTAGTTTATTATTAAGTGTCAATAGGTATGGGAAACCGAATGGACAGTGACGGCATACTGATGAATGAATTATTTCGAAATTTTTTTGTACAAGACGCCAGATTAAGGTTGTGATGATTAAGTAATAATTGACCTCTGATTTCAAGAGTTATTCTAAAAACATACTCAACAGAAGTTGGGGAGACTTGCTACGTAATTTGTTGATTTTCTTCAAATTTAATTACCTATTATCATCTTAGGATCAACAACTAACAAGGTTTTAATAATCAAAACGAAAAACCATTTACATGTAACAAAAACATTAAGTACTATGTGTTGGGATGATTGGGAAGAAAAAAGTAGAGGTAGGAAAAGCTTAAGAAAACTGATTTGGATAGGTACGAAGACAATAATATGGACCAATCTTTATTTTTTAAGGAATGAAAGAAGAGAAATGAATAAAATATTAAAGACAATTTGCAAGAAAAAAAAGGGAAAGGAATAATATAATTGAAAAATTACAATTAATACTGATATTAAGAGGTAGTTTCAATATCATGAAATAAGTCCCAGTTTTCACATCTTGAAGAATATCAATTTCGTGTCGTAAATATTATTATTTCATCTGAAAGTATTATTATTTTTTATTTTAAAGTTCAAACTGACATGAATAAAAAAGTACAAATAAATATTTTCTATCACCTAGAACTTACACATAGAATTAATAAGCACTAAAAATTAACAAGCGTTTAACAACTCAGTTCTTTTGCATCAATAAGTTCAAGTTTTATATTTATTTTATTAATTATAAAATTTTATTTATTACATTTTTTATATTTATAGTAAGTTTTACAAATTAATTATATTTTTTAATTTATATTGTTTTTTAATATGTTTTAATATATATATATATGTGTGTGTGTGTGTGTGTGGGTGGGTGTTTGTAACTTTTAGATTTGTTGAAAAATGCATACAATTATGTATAGAATTTCTTGAATTATATGTCTTATTATATATCTTCTTTTTACACTATTTCGGAAACCCAAAGACTCAATCTCAATCGTATGGATCATTAATATTATACTCAAATATATAATTTTTTATTTCATACATTTTTTAATAAAAGCGCTTCTTTATTATAGTAATATAGATAGATGCGTAGTGATAATATATCAATATCATTTCTTAGTAAAAGTTAATTAATTTTCAATGTATATAGAAATATCATGATTCTCGAGAATTTGTGGACGCTCTTATGAGGAAACACTTATGATACTCGAACTCATACCTTATAGAGCATGTTATGCTTTTAATTTGTAGATAATCATATGACCAAAATTAAATTATGTTGCTCAAGTGGCATCTAATTCGACGTGAAAATAAATGGATTGAGTTTTAGTATTATACAATTTCATAAAAGTGACCTAATCTTATTTTAATCAAATAAATTGAGTAGATTAGAAGTTTAGGTCACAAAACAATCATTCAACAATTAATCTCTCATACTATGACACATTTTTTTATAGGTTATGTCAAATATTAATGTTTATATACTTTGTGTTAATCATGAGGACAGATAATATTGATTTCAAGTTTTAAACTTGTAGTTATTAATAAATTTACAAAATTACATAAATATTACGCAGCCAATTATTTTATTTGATAGGATAATTATGATCAAATACACTCTCAAAGTTTATTGAGAAAATCATAAAATCATTTCAGATTCTTAAGATAATATCAATAAAGAAAATATTTAATATATAAAACTTTTTATTCTCATTGTTTATTTAGCATCGATTTTGAAAAATCAATGGCTCAAATAAAGTAATAATCATTAAAATACCATGATATATTTCAGTTCATAGTGAATGAAAAAGTTTAAATATTTTAAGTGTTAATAACTAAAATATTACTCATCTTGATATTAGCCACTTAATGGTCAGATGAAGATTCATTAACTTTATTGGCTTTGAGATTAAAGATGGAGAAACAAACAAATAAATAAATAAAGGATGATTTATGTGGGCCATTAAACCATTCAAACCTTTGAAAATCTACATATATATAATTGTTGGCCCATGAACATTTAATAAAACCTATTAAATTATACCTACGTGACAATATAACTTTTTCCCTCCAAAATTCATTACTTTTTATTTATTTAACCTCTCATTTAATTATTAGATAATCAACACACTAATCACTTCAAATTTACAAAAATCATTTTAAGCTTTTGATTTACTTACAGTTGACCATATAATGTGTTGACTATTTAACTTGATTAGATGTCATTGTTGTGGTTACATTTAAATTAACTTCTTTTGGAAAATAAAAAACGTATTCGAAATTTCTAAATAAATAATAAATAATTCACAAAAAATACGTACCAAAATATACAGTACATTCAATATAATAAACGTAATTTAAAAAAATAAATATTCCAACTCCTTTAATTGTAAATTTGGCCTGCAAAATAGTGCAAGAAAAAGCATTAATCATCATATGCATACAAATAAATCACAATACTTTATTTATATATGTGCATTTGCGCAGGTCGAATACTAGTGTGGACCAAAAACCTAATTGACCGGGATTATTTCTCAATATTAAATATTGTTTTTTGTGTAGTGTATAATAGTACAATGATATTAATTTCACTATAAAGGTGGATTAGTACCTACTCTCACTGTCCGTTTTCAAAAGAAGTGCAAATTCAAAATCCTTCAGATCAGATCAGATTCCAACTTCTGCCCTACACGTTTTATCTGCCACCTTGTTGTTTATGACCAGACATCTTTCTAAAATTTTGAAGGACAAATCTTCAAAAGAGTTTTAACATTATTTTGAATGAGGAAAAAGAGTTTCTAAAATTGATAGGAAGGAATCAAATGAGGAGCAAATTTCAAAGATACTGTAGTTATTAGCATCTAATAATTGCCACCTTTTAGTTTTCCCAGCTTATAACTGCCTGGAGACCAAAAATTGGCTTCCTATCGGTCTAGCACGTCATAGTTGGCCCAACAGGCCTAGGTCGACATACTTTTTTTTAAACAAGAATATTAACGTTTTTATTTTATATTTTTCAACAAGATAGTTCATACTTTTGAAAATGTCTAAAATATTTTTCTTACATTGTTTTCTAAAGACATTGACATATCGGTCTTCTCTTTCCCAAGAGAAACNGATACAAAATCAAATCAAATAAATAAAATAAAAATAGATCAACAAAGTTGTACAAGACATGTAGACTGCCAAACAGCTTGTATCGAACAATCAAAATATAATTATTTTCCCCTAGGCTCTAAAACGACAAAACGAGTAGGGAAATTTCACGGGCATAAACTAGCAGGGTCATAACGGTCTTTCAGTGGCCATTGGCTACGACTCCATTCCCGGCAGTCTTCTTGGCGTAAAATCTTCGGTACTTAGAATCCACTTCAGTGAGATAGTAAGTGCCTGGTGCAAGAAGGCTGCAATCCTTGCTCGTTACAAAGTCCTTGTTCCCATATCTGTGCTCCATCAGCTTCATAATGTCGACAAATTTTTCCGGAGGAAACTGTAACACGAGAATATTTCTCGTATTAAGAATCATTTACAGCAAATAATAATGTTTCAGAAAGTACAAAAAATCGCTCAAGTGAGATGTGAAGTAAAATAATGATGGCCCGAGATTTAGATTGTCGCTGAACGTAACACACAATAATTTAAACGTCTTCTGAAGTTTTTATTATAAGAAATTAGAAATANACCAAAAAAAAAAAAAAAACTATTTCGCATACCTCATGCCTCGACTTCAACTTGTCTGAGACATTCATGACATTCACAATGTTGGATAGACTAAAAGGATGATGGCCCTCGTTAAGACAAAGAGAAAACATGGTGGCTGAAAGACCACTGCCGTAAGAAAACAATATCACCCTCTTTCCAGCCTAAACAAACAAAATTCCTGTCAACTTATGAAAAAATATATATGTTTAAGTTCAATTCATAAATAAAAGAACCTGAAGAGCAAGATACAAAATTATATACCAGAGTGTTGTTTTCATTGTGGAGTAGGGATGCAAAAGCTGCATAGATTGATGCTGTGTACATGTTCCCCACTTGTTTCGGGATAAGTGTAGATGGCTGCACCTTAGCATCGTAAAAAGGCTTTGCAACTTGTTGAGATGCCTGTTGATATGCACAAATAGTTAGATTAAGCAATGTGTATATACTTTCCGGAGAAGAGGGAAAATATTCAAATGATTCAGACCTTCTCGAGATCGCGACTTTGGTAGCTTTCATCCTTGGTTAACGATGAAAAGGGAGCCAGCTTCTCTTTCGCGGCCTCATCAATTGAGCTGAAAATTAATCAGTCAAAGAGAAAAATAAATAAATTTAGCACCTAAAAAAAAAAGAAGAAAAATCTCACATATGTATAACTCTATTTTAATGAAAAAATAAAAAGGAGGAAATAGATTATATAGTCACCTGGCACTCCTCAAGAAGTCATTGAATAACAATCTAGCAAAGCTCTTCTGTACAAGCTGCAGGTTTGAAGTAGAATGTCAACAACAGCTACTCATTCAGGTTGTATATTATTATTACGAGCCCTAGTGTTACTCAAAAGTACCTTGTTGTATGGAGAATGAAATACAAAGTACTCGGCATCAGCAATCGAGAACTTCTTGCCCTCCAGCTTCTCATACCTGTAATGTACAACAGTAAGTACTCAAAAAGAAAAAAAAAAAAAAAAAAAAAAAAATCTAGAGATGCAAAAGTGGTGTGTATTTTTTTCTGCAGCAGCATAGCTTACTTGTCACATAAGTTTTTGTAACAAGAATCGAGTGCCATGAGGTAGCAAGTTTGAGAAAGCTTGCCATCAACAACCTACATTTCATATGTCCCAACCTTGTGAGAAACAAATATAAAAATGTCCATAATTCTCTTCTGAACACCAAATTAAAAGATTCCATTCATGAAAGATATAGCATAGGTAAAAACATCCACAGTGGATAGGCTGCGATTAATAGAACAAGAGGTCTGGAGAATTACTGGATATTCACTGGCAAGGTCAGGCTTGTAAAAGTCGTAGACATGAGCCATATGGCTAGCCCGAAGCTTGCTTTCAAAGGCAATAGGAGCATTTGGTCCAATCAACATGGCAATAGCAGCAGCTCCACCAGTTGGCCTAGCAGGCCCCTCAGCATACACCTGTCAAATGAAGCTGCTAACTGGTAAGGATCCACACAATTTTTTGACAGCAGGTTTTCAGGGATCTAAATAAACTCCCATAGCAAAAATTACAGTCAAGAGAAACCCAGCTCAATTAGGAAAAAGAGCACAAATATAATTCCAACCAGCTACATTTTTTTTTTTTTCTCTAAATGCTTAGAAATTTTGAAATTTCAACAGTATGAGGGAACCATACCGCGCTGTCTGTACAGACAACAAGGCCATAACGTCCATCCCATGAGCTACTTTCCACCCAATTCACACAGTTAAATAGAGCAGCAGTACCACCATAGCACGCATTTGTCGAGTCAACACCTTCAATGTCGGTATTCCCACATCTCTGTTTATCCACATTGAGAAATAAAGACCATTGATATGCATTTTCGATCCATAATCCATATATGTTAATGATAAGAGCAAAATCTGATTTTAGCTATGGTGAATATGCTTCCCAATAATGAAGCATATGGGGAGCTTAATGAGAATATCTGGAGACGTAAATCCTATTTACTAACAGTAGTATGAACCCCAAATTCATTTATAAGCTACCAGAGACAATTGAACTATGTATAATATAATCTTCTAGAGACAGAGGGTTAAACAATTACCTCAAATATCGGCATCAAAAATGTTTTAATGGATTTGCTTTTATCGAGAACAGTCTCGCTGCCAACTTCAAGGCGCCCGATCTGTTTCGGATCAACCCCATATTTTTCTAGGAGCGATGTGACAGCTGTCATACTGAAAGTTCAAAGAGTTAGGAAATTGATTGAAAAAAGTAAATTCTGAACACTTACAGCCATTTAAGCTTCTGTAACACACATTCACATAGCAAGCCATTGGGGACCTTTATTATAGTAACAACCTAAGCTGGAAATTATTTCCTAATCATCATCATGCTCTCTTGTTGCCCTTGTTATTTTCTTTTTTCCTTCACTGACTGAAATAAATATGACCACATTTTACAAATATCCAACACCAGTTCACTACTGTGAGCAAACAACAACAACAACAACATAGTCTTTTTGTCCCAAGCAAGTTGGGGTAGGCTAGAGATGAAACCCAAGAGAATCAATGGTAAGAGAAACACAAAAAGGGCTCAAAACAGAAATACCAAATTTATTAACTTCGGTATATTAATAAGTTAAGAACACCAGATAGATACATTTCCAGTTGAAGGAAATAAAACTACCTTGCATTGATAAAGAACAATATTTCGACTCTTTTCTTGCTTCACGGAGAGCCAATAGCACACCGCATTGAAAAAACACAGGTTGCATATAGTTTCAAAAGATGGGTTAATAAATATACATCTCATGCCAATGAAAGTCCCCTTATAATCCTTCAAAAAATGTTTCACATAATGACACCTTCGACCACAGTACAGAACAAGAACAAAATTACGAGGATTCAATCACACACCACATATAAAAAGTGAATACCTCATCGAAATGACATCTTCGACCTCGGTACAGAAGGCCATGCAATCCTGGCCAAGCCCAATTGTGTACTTCCCTTTGCTTGCTCCGTCATGAGCCTCCAGCACTTCCTGCAACACACATATCGGCATTTCATCATAAAAGCATAAATCTAGTGAAACAGATAGTGAATGTGAAGGATTTTTCATCGCTCTTGGACTTTCACACTTAGCATTGCAGAAAATTACCCGTAAATGCAATTATAGCACCAGTATAAAATCACAATAAAGGGCTCTAAGATCTGATTTTCCTCCCTTCTACAAATTAAAAATTGCAGGTGCAAATAAGGGAGAAGATCGAAAAACTACTGAAAAATGAATCTGATAATAAAAAATCGGGAAATCAGATCACGATACGAAATAAACCCAGATAATGATTTCAGAGCTGTTTAACCTATAGAAGACATTAAAAAATAATCAGGTAGGTCCACTCAACAAAATAAAAAAATCAAGAAGAAAAAGCTCGATATTTCTGTTATTATCTCCCTCACTTACACAAAATTCTACCAGAACCCAAGAACCAACAAAGAAAAAAAAAAATGAAAACACCGAAAAAAATGAACAAATCCACAACAACACATAGTGCTCGGAGCACAAAAAGTACAAATCTTTACACATGCGTGGGACGTTTGGTGAACGAAAATGAATAATAAATCAAAAGGGCCATTGTTTACCTGCTGGATGCAAGTGGGAGGAAAGTAAATTTCCATGGCGAGTATTCCCACATTCTTGGCCATCTTATCAAAGAGATCAATTAAGCTAAAAAAAGGTAGCTTTCTGAACAGTCTTTTGTTATCTTTCGTTCTTGTGCGATTATAGCTGGAAAAACGCAAAGGCAATGAGGTTCGTACAGGCAATAAAACAAAGGAGAATAGGTGGCTGAATTAATGTTGGGTAGGTACTTTTCAGAACGAGGGGGACTATTTATAGGCAGTGGAAAAATTAGAGTAAATTATAAATTGCCATATTTTTCTCATTTTATCCATTTTCTTTGCTTTCAGAGTCTCATAGCCCCCAAATGCAGACTCCGTGAAGTACCCACCATTGATCCTCTTTGAAAAAAATAAAAAATAAAGAGTTTCCCACTTACCTGCCAAATTCCAAACTAATTTAAATTCCATTTTAGATGTCAAAATTATACTACTAGGTAGTAAAATAATTTGAAATAAACAATTTTATTTAATTATATTTTACCTAAACTTGCCTTGTCCCCATCGAATGAAGGCTGATGATAGTGGATTGGATTTGTCACTCGTCGGTAGACATACATAATCAGACAAATGATTATGGGTAAAATTTCACTCTGGGTTAGAAACAGTTTTTTGCTATGGAGCCATCGAAATAGCTTTGACACGTGTCCTGCAATAAATACACTTTGGACATGTGTCAATACATTAAGTGGTGGATGAGTCTCATAAGAAAACCATCTGATGGCTCCATGGAAGTTTTGGGGTTAGAAATATGTATAGAGAGACTACTCGCGAGTCGCCTGGGTCGCTGGGGTTGCGCTCTTTGTTAAACTCGCGAGGCGCGTGTTCCTGATCACGAGTCGCGCGATGCTGGACGCTGGCGTGGGGCGCGGGTCGCAGGCGCGGTCGCGAGTCGCGACCCGGGTTGCACTGCACCATCTTACGTTTTGGCCTCGTTTGAGCTCGTCCGAACTCGAAATTGAGTTCCGTTTTTTCCTACGCGTAGCTAATGGACCCATATATCTAATTATTCTCTCGAAACCAATTTTTCCTGAAGAGAAAATTCACCCGAAGCTCCCGACCTACACACCAAAGATGACAAAACACAAAAAAAAATCCAAAAAACAAACGAAAAAAACCTAAAGACTCAAAATGAAGGAAAAACACATAATAAAACACGAAACGGATTAAAAAACTAAAGAAAATACCTAAAACGGAAGAAAAAAGAAAGATAAAATAAACGCGAAAAATGCAACATAAATGAGAAAAACATTTTCTCTTTTTTCTTTGCCTTTATTTATGTAAAATACAAATAAATTACACGTCTGATGTATTTTAATACACATGTTTGTGCCACATAAGAGCCACATAGGTGGATGGCTTTAGGCATGGCCAAATTTCGGGCCCGGTTTGGTCCGACGGGTCACCAAGTCAAAAATCTACGACCCTAAATTGGTACGGGCTGGTACACGACCCGGATCCCAGACCCGTCTAAAAAAAAAAATTTGAAAGCCGTTGATTTTTTCTCGAGCCGGCCTGACCCGACTCTACACGGCTCGACGAGTCATATGTTCAAAATGGTCGATCCTGATTCGGCCCGATTAAAATTCCGTGTCTATGTCTATATAAGATCTATGTTTTAGTTAATATATAACTAGTACGTGGCCCGTGCGATGCACGGGAAAATAATATTTTGATTGTATTATAAATTAAACAAATAAATAACATTAATCATGATTTACCCATTATTTATAAATTAAACCGGGTAGGACACAGTCCGACCGGATGGACCGAGAACCGGTTTATAACCGATTTAGTGCGCTTGAACAAAATATTTGCTATCGAATCCGCCAACACCAATATGTTGGACTGGTAAGATCGATACGATTTTCTAAACAAATTTTGTTACATGAAAAATTATTTTAAATAAAATTACATATTTAAATAAAATAGAGATCTATAAATTGTTTATCAATTAGTTTAAACATTTGAATTTAGAAATTGTTTAGATATTTAAGTAACACTTTCTATTTAAATTTATTACAAAAAGTACTATATATATATATTAAAGTATTATGTATTAAAATCTGAACAACCACAAGACGGTGCGATTCTGAAAACCTTATATTTACCGTACATTAATAAAAATGATAATGAAATAAATATTTTGTTCACATAAATAATAATAAAATGATATATAAATATTCATAAATCATTAATCATGTTGTCATAAAAGTATTGTTAATATGATTATTTGAAGTTTGGACGACATCACATTCACGTAATAAAGTATTTTCAATATTAAAATTTATATTTAGGTTCAATAATCAATTTGGTCTGGTCAAACTGATACATAACTTAATTACCTCGGACCAACCAAGTTATGTCAAGTTTTTTGACTATTTTAAATATCACCTAAAAGTAATTCAATCAAAATGGGCAGTACCCTAATTCAATCACCCGATTGATCCAAAGTAATTTCCTTATTTTCTTTAAATATAATATTTAATTTTATGAAATAAAAATATTTTATGATTCATATGTCTACACCAAATGATAGTATATTAAGATTATAAATTATATATCCAAAGATGAGCAATTTATTTTTATTTTATACATATTAATAAAAAATAAACATAGTAATTTAAAAAAATTACGATTAATTGATTGGGTATGCAATTTAAAAAATATTTTTAGCGTTCAATATATATATATATATTTAACATGATTGAATTTTTGGATTTGAATATATATGTTTAAAATAATTTTATTATTAAAAGTCAAAAAGAAAAGATGCCATAAAGATTACAACTTTGAAAAGTTTGTAACCATTAATTTATGAACCCTCCGATTTTAAATGACTTATAATTTTTGAAACATGATACGTGCATTTATAACCCATTAATTTAGGAACCATCAATTTTTTTGATAATGAATTAAAATTAAAATGTAAAATGTAAAAGTTGCTGAAAATAGTATATAATAAATGTGGTTGACTTTTCCTTACTACTATTTATGGTAAATGTTAATTCTTATTATACATATATAGATTGCTAATACAATACTTGTCTATTACATGATGCTTTTTAAGAAATTTATATTTAAAATTGATAATAATAACAATAAAAAACTGTTTTAATTCTCAAATGTATTTTTGAAAAACGTAATTACTATTTATATTTTGAATGACACTCATCACTTATACAACTTACCATCTTATATTATAATATATTATTAATTTATATCATATAACAATTTTGTAGTTAAATTAAATAATTTTATTTTTAAATTAATATTAATAGGCAGTTTATTTTTTCTCATAAAGATAAATGGTATTTATTTATTTTGTACACTACAAGCGTCAAATCGAAGCTAATCAAGACATTATTAATTTGATATATTATATATAAAAAATTAATAAAAAAAATATTAACATTTGAATCTATTTATAATTTAAGTTAGTATAATCTCTTATATATAATTGCAGAATGCGTTGAGCCTAAGTGACAGATTCTCACGATTCAATCATGAGCTAAGCGGGACTTAAACTAATATTTTTATAGAAAAATAACTAGGCTTGAATTACATTTAATGTCTATATTTTTCATACTAAATCATATTGATATCTTCCTTCTTTTGTTCTGCAATTAATTACCATAAATATTTTATGTTTCCTTTTCACACATTACCATATATTACATTTTCTTTTCTTATTATAAAATATTTCTTATTCTTATTTTTAAAATTTAATAACATTTTTTGTTTGTATTTATTTTTCATATATGATATATTAAATTATTTATCTTTTACCGATCTTTGATTTAACATCCATATTATATATGTAATACAAAAAAATGATATATATCCTTAAAAATAAAATTTAAACTTATTTATCAAACTAAACTAAAATATATCAAATAAAATTATAAATTATCTTATAAAGTAAAAGAAATTTATGTGTATTAACATACCATAAATAATTATTTTACTTGAAAAAAATCTCATATATATAATTGCAGAATGCGTTGAGCCTAAGTGACAGATTCTCACGCTTCGGAATCCCATGTGACAAAAAATCATGCTTCAAAGTCAGGCTAATTAGATAGTAAATTAATATTTTTATAGAAAAATAATTAGGCTTGAATTTTATTTAACTGTCTATATTTTTCATATTAAATCCATATTGATATCTTCCTTCTTTTCTTCTACAATTAGTTATCATAAATAATTTATGTTTCCTTTTTCTACATTACTATATATTACATATTCTTTTCTTATTTAATTTATACATCAACTTTTATAAAATGTTTCTTATTCTTATTTTTAAAATATTATTTCTTTTTTGTTTGTATTTGTTTTTATATATGATATATCCACATATGTGTGTGGAGCGTTAAAAAGAATTATCATTTTGACAAATCAAATATAAAAATGGGTATTATTTTAAATAATTAATCTTATTATGTTTCTATTTATTAATTATATATTTAATTTTTTAACATTCTAAATATTAATTTCTTCCCTTCTCTCTCTTTTTTTTAATAAATTACTTAACTTTCAAGCACACGTGTTGTTCACGATCGTTATATTAACTGTCGAATAAATTACTTATTTTATTTAATTTTGATAAAATGAATAAATATGAAAAAAAACAAATAATACTTCATTAAAATATATTTTAGAAATCAAAATAATATTAAAAAAATATATTTTTAATAATCATTTATAGTTTTTACTTCACAATAAGAATTTCAGTAATTTTTTCAATTTTTGTTGCACAATTAGTTTTTTATGAAACACCCATGTAGGTCACGAGCGTTATACTAGTGTTTTATAATTCTAAAAGAAAGATGAGAAAAAAAGAAACATTGGAAAAAAAAAAATTATGCTTTATAAACCTCCTATAAAATAGGAAATGTATCATAATTAATACGTTTATAAAGTATCATAGATATCTAGTATAAATATTTTATTCCAAGCCTAGTTATTTTTTTTATTGGAATTCAATTAAAATTCATCAAAGCCAAATGACAAAGCACGAAAATTTGTCAAATAAGATCCCAAAGCATGCGAGTTTGTCATTTAGCCTCAGCACATTTAGAAATTATATATAAGGGGATTGCATACACATAATTTTATATTAAAACTTAATATTAACATTATATTTTTATTACATAATATAATCTGAGTANTTTAAAATGAGTTATCAATCATAATTTTATTTACCCAAGTGAGTGTTTGATTATCCTGTTGAGATCGTTTTTCACTCGGGCATTATCCTTTTGAGATTTTTTAGTTTGTGGTAATTTTTGTTTTGTAGTGTTGTGTCTTTGTTTTATAGTGTTGCTAGGTCCGGTTCTAGGCGATCTTCGGATCTGTCTCCAGTTTATTCAGCCGTTGGTTGTATTTTTCAGCCTTTAGCTGGTTTTGTTTTCGCATGTTATGCGTTCTATAAAATCTTTGTTGTTCCGAAAAAAAAATCATTATTTTATTTTAAAACTTAATATTAACATTATATTTATATTACATAATATAACTTAAGTAATTTATGCAAAAAAATAAAAAAAAAATATTTCGTTTAAATTTCCACACCTATTTAAATGAGTTATTAGAAGGATCTAGTCTTACCTATGTGGCATGTAAATAAACTCAAGTCTTGGATGACATGGATAAAATTATGTATAATTAACAAAATCTACTCCAATGCAAAGAGACTAGGTCTCCACTAGGGATTAAAATAGACTTAAGGATAGACCCGAGACTCTTTTTCTGGCTGCCACATCAGCAGGACGCAGTCTTACATTTATTTGTATTGGAGAATAATTTTTTTTAAACGTCTATGTATTATGTGGCATATGTTTTTTTGTAATTGAACCCAAAAACATTGTGATGTTTTTACGTATGCATCTAAAACAAATTTACAATTCTAACTACCATATTAATTATTTTTAGCGTTTCTTAATCTTACATAAATCGATACACAAGCACGCCCAAATCTTGTTTCCCCTTCGTCTTCTCCTCTGCATCGTTGGATAATCCTTGCCGCTATGTATTTCTTCGATCTTCCAGCACTTTCCTCTGTCTTCCTAACAATGATCGGAAAACCAAATGTTCTTCAAGCACCCAACTGTGAGGTAGACCTTGTTACTGTCGGCGAGCTTCTGTAACAAGACGAGGTCGACCCTTTCTCCTGTACCAAGATGGGAATTTCTGGGTTGCCTGCAATCTAAAATTGCCGATTAACTTCCCTGTTCTCCTCTCCCAAATTTACTTTCATAGCCCCTATTACTCTATTGATGAATCAAATCCCCAAAATTGCATAAAAAATCGATCTTTGGGAAATCCGTTAATCAGCCGCCGGCGACGACTGATCGGGAAACTTGTAACTTGTTGATCTTCATCCACAATCATCTCCCAGACTTATATATATTTATTTAATGCATCCGAGTTAGACTCCTAATTTATAACTTTTTTGGAGCTTTGGGATTCAGCAAGATTGGATTTTTATTATTGCAGCTTTTGGTTTCAGCAAGATTGGATTTTAATTATTGCAGTTTAGGTTTGAGCAAGATTGGATTTTTATTATTGCAGCTTTTGGTTTCAGAAAGGTTGGATTTTGTTTAGGTTTGAGCAAGATTGGATTTTTATTCTTGTTTATTCGTTGTTAACTATTTACTGGTCCACGCCCTCCCCTATTCAGTTTTGCTTGGTGTAAAAAATTATGGAATTGGACGGGACAGAGAAACAAATAATAATGGGTGGGTGTAGCAGCAAGACAAGCTATTTACCTGAGGATATTCTGGAACAAATCCTGTGTAGGCTTCCCGAAAAGCCTCTGATCAGATTCAAATCCGTGTCCAAAGCATGGCACTCAGTGATCTCTCAAATCTGCCTTCGTTATCCCCACAGATCCGTGCTCGGACTTGTGCTCCGAACTCACAAAGTTCGTCGCCGGTGTGGCACCATTTTCGAGTACATTGCCCGGACATTCCGCCACCCTTGCCTCACCCATTTTATATCGGACCACCTCCCGGAAAAGTGGTACTCGATGCGCGAGTCGATTCCGGGTCACTACTTGTCTATCCAGGAAAGAAATGGGGGCCCAAAACTACTTGCGTGGGAAGAATGCCTCGGCTCATCAAAGCTTCCCTTCAAGCCCAGCCCAGATGACCTCGTCTCGAGCTGCAATGGGCTGCTCCTGTTCGTCGATATTGAGACCTCCCGATATTACGTCTCCAACCCTATGACTGGGCAGTGCGTGCCGATCCCCCAGCCTGCATGGGCCCAGGAGAGGCTCCTCTTCGCGGCCCTTGCGTTCGACCCATCCCGATCGTCCTCCTACACCGTAGTCCGGTTTGCGTGGCGCACGACCAAGCCGGAGATGGTTCTCGACGTCTACACCTCGGCCGACAAAAGCTGGTCGAGCCATGAGCTGCAGCTGGACCCATGCATGACCAGGCTCAACATGATGAGGCCCGCAACCTACTTCGAGGGGGCTCTGTTCCGGTTGTCGCTGACGTGGCACGTCGTGCGGTTCAATTTTTATCGGGAACTGGCGGGGGTCCGTGTGGCCCCTCTCCCGCTGTCGTACAAACAGTGCAAGGGGCTGATGGGGTCCATGGGGGTGCTGGCAGGCAAGCTGTGCTACTCCAATGAGTTTGAGGACATGCTTCACGTGTGGTCGCTCGGGGATTGTTCTTTTGATGTCAAGAGCAGCTGCCCGTGGGAATTGAGGTATAGGATTGACATATATGACTTGACTCGCGGCATGGTCCTCAGTGGGGATTGGCCCCCCATTTCTAAGTGGGTGGAGACAGTTGCTTTTCATCCGAGTGCTAATGTTCTGTACCTTGGGACTCCTCGTGTGATCCTTACGTATGATTTGGAGAGCAACAATCTGGAAGAACTGACTAGGATCGAGAGGGACGGTTTTCTCCCTGGATGTTACTGTGCTGCCTTCACTTGCATTCGTTTTCCTGTCCCTTTTGATGATGCCGGAAATATTTGTGCTCCCAATTGCTAGTGAGTGTGTTGATTTCCAGGCTGCAACTTGTTCCTTTTAGTTTGATGTTTTTTAGGCAGCACATTGTTATGATGATGAACCGATTAACTATACAGTGCAGTCAAAATAATATGCAGCTTCTTTTTATCCATTTGGCATACGAAACAAAGTATTTAGAGTGTGAGTAATTGGTGCATTGTATATACTGAATCTGAGGGTGAGACATTTCCAAAAGTAATGGATTGTGGAACGAAAAGCTCATCAGTTGTTGCTATGCCAATTTATTTTGTATTGTTGAACCAAAAAACTCATCTTAAGTTATTTTTTCCCATATATAGCTCACACAAACATAGTACTCTCTCAACTTCACAAATTTCATGCAGAATATTTTGTTCTTGATTCTTTCTAATGTATTGCTCATGTTACTGTTTGAAAGGAATATAAAATGACGCCGTTATTTGTTTTGTATGCTGTTGATTTTTGGTTTACACTTGCTTAGTCTCTTTATGTTCAACCTGTTGCTAGCCAATTGAGCTAGTTGTTTCATATCATTAAAAAAGTGATTGAAAATATTTCTTTGTTTTGATATATCCTGAGTCTGGCTCTGGCAAGTAATATATGAGGAATTCGCAGATTGGGAATAGTTTTGCTGGTATTTATACTGTGTGATGTGGTAATATGCAAGTCCACAATGACTTGGAACTTATTGTTATATGGTTAATTACAGAAGCATTTGTTGTGAGTTTTTCTTTTGTCCTTTGCAAGACTTTACCACCACCGCCACTCTTGCGCTCGATTCCAATTGCTTTCTCCACTACAACCCTCATCTCTCTCCCGACTGTCACCACCAATATGTGACCCCGACTGTATTCGGCTGCTCGCATCTCTTTCACCACCGTCTGAGACTTCAACTCGCTGGTACGGCCTCAAATGTCAGGCGAGTGAATTTCTCGGTGCTCATGCCTCTGGCCCGACTCAGTGAGGTTAGCCTTATTTGTGGTTTGAGATTTCGCTTGGTCATTCTAGGGTTTTTGGGCTGAGCCCCGATTTATGGCGGCCAAGGGCTGGGGATTCGTGGCTGTCTGGCTGAGATGGTTCATTGTCTTGCTCCAAATTGCTCATTGACGAAATCCGAAATTATTTGTGTAAATGTATATTTTTTTTTTTTCATTTTGGAGGGGTGATCGTTTTTGAAATCTTGGATATGATTAATTGGTTTGCTGAAATAGTGAAGTATGATGGGTTTATTTAAGTTGTGTGTAATTTGCATGCATCAAGAGGCTTTGGATTGTATGATTTTATTATATCTGCAACAACAACAACAACAACAACATACCCAGTATATTCCCAACAGATTGGGGTCTGGAGGGTCAGTTGTACGCAGACCTTACCCTTGTAATTATACAAGGAGGCTGTTTCCGTAGCGACCCAAAGTGCATTGTGCCGTTTGATATATTTTTTTTTTCTAGAAACTTCACTAATAGAAGAAGCACTAGAATTTAATTGAGCCATTTTGATCTAGTCCATTATTAGCACTATGCCAGGAGAATTGTCAACAATGACTCTTCTAGCTCCATTTGCAATGGACAATTCCATTTGCAATGGACAATATAAATTTTCTTTGGGGCCTTCATTATAGAACTAAAGAAACCTGATATGGAGTTGGTGAAAATTTTGGTGGGGTCTTTCAATTTCATGTGCATTGTCCGCTGTGGAGGATGTGGCATTGTGCTGGGCTCTATCTCTCATATTTTTAGCATTTAGTTTTGTTCTCGAAGCGGGTTTTCCTTTCGAATTTCAAATTGTATTGTCGATGCTTGCCAAAAGATTCGGGCTTCTCAAAATCCTCTGTGGGAAAGCCTGTTTCATAATTACGGGGGTATATAGATTTTGTTTTCTTTTGGATTTTTAAGCCGTGATGATTATGAGTATTGGTTTGAGTTACATTTTCCTGGTTGTTGATATGCATCTGCTTCGATTTGCATTTGTTGTTTTTTCTTGCGAGTGTGTGCATGCGTTTGTTCATGGTTGGAGTGTTGAGCTTATGAGCCTTCTCCTATGCTGAACGGGCCCTGGGTACAGGGCTCTGCCAGTTAAGGTCTTCACCGAGGGGCCGGGGAAAAGGAGGATCTGAGCGTAGACTTCTGTCGTCTCTTTGTCCAAATTCAGGCCAGCAAAAGGGACAAAGATGGATTCTTCATGGGTTATAATTGTCATTGTTTTATCCGTGACTACATTTTTGTGTTGTCCGAATGTTGTATCATGTACGTGCATTATTCTCAGCTTTTTGCTATTTTCTTGAAACTTCTGCGATGCATCATTTAATTGGTCCCTTATTGTACATTACTTTTTTGGCTTCACCAAAGTCCATATTGTTGGCGTCTTAGAATATATATCAATCAAAAGAATAAATTATGAGTTGCCAGTCTGATAACATGCTCCCATGCCAATGACAGTTTTGTGTTTGCTTTTATTATGATATCTCAGGGTCTTTCATATTTTCGATAATGTTTCAGTTCTTGAAACTTTTGCTGCATATTCATATTCTGAGTGTGTGGTTTACATCTTTGGTTTGATTTTTATTCATCTCTGTTATTAATCTCAAGTAAGAAGAATAGGGGTTCTCAGTTTTGGGTGAAATTTTGTCTTACTGAGGGCTATCGTTTTCAAGTTGTGATGCAGACTTATGAAGAATGCCTTGAGGCTCATTATTGTCGGAGCAGAAGATTACACCAATCAGTCAGTATAGTTATAGCTTACTCCTGTATTTTTCATGTACATTATTACTTTCTGTGGTCTGTGCCATAGACGACATACATATTTTGCCAGGTTAAATTTGGCAATGCAAGAGATGATTTTTTCCATAATTTGAAGTTCTTAATACTAATTCAGGTACAAGAAAGATTGTGTAGCCAATTGATTTACATCATTTAAAAATGTGTATCGTGTTTTCACAGTCAAAGTTAGTGTTTTAGAAATGATTAGCCCTTGAATTGTGGTGATGTTTACTTTTGTTGTTCTTTGCTGCTGTTGAGGTGCCCTTTTTCTGTTTTCCTGCGCTGAAGGCCCTGAAATTTTATTTGTACCTATCATTGGATATTAAATGTTTACTGTTATATGCATTCATAGAACTTTTATTTTTCTTTTTCTCTATGACATTTCCAGAAATAGTTGATTACAATTGTTCCATGAGGATGTTTTTTTTTTTCTTAGATAGGACACCGAAGTGAGCATATTGCAACTTGAAACGTATCAAGCTAAACCTCATGGCTACTTTTTTGTTAGGATCTTCAACAAAATGGAAAGAAAGAAGCAAAAAAAAGGATGATTCTTGGTCTTTTGTTTCACAATATATGGTATTATGTCATGATTATATAGGATTGGGTTGCGGCTTGCGGGCAAGATACCCGACTTCTTATTCATTCGTGGACATGTGTTGTTTAGCCAAAACTTCGAATTCGAGTGCGATCCTCTTGATTTCTAGTTTATGAATTGAATGATCTAATAATGATGTATAGGATGTTGTTTGTTAGAAGCTTAAATTGGCAGTGTTTGTGTTTATTGCTTTGTAACTAGTTTATAAACTGAATGAATTGGTTTCCTCTGACCCAAAATTTTTCAATTTGCTTCATTAGGTCCAAAAGCCTAAACAATGGCTATCTCATCATACTCAACCCCAGCTGAGGCTGGCATACTATGCCTAATCATCGAAAACATTCAAATTTCGTTCCCAGACGTGAAAGAACTCGTCTGCTCGATCCTTAGCACGATGGGCATCCACATGTATTCAAGGGATGAGCTCTCGGTCGAGTCCCCTGACCATTTGGGTATAAGCTGCTATTTTTTATCTTGATCTTGGCCTTGATTCGACCCATATATTTTGAGCCCATCGAGAGAAGATGACTCATATCATGTTCTAGACTATCAATTCTTGGGCCATGTATGTTGCTGTCCAGGCTGTTCTTTCCCCATACGCCTGTGGTCGTACAACTGGTGAGTCGATCAAATGTTTGCATTTATAGAACTGAATGTGGTACAAGTACATGCTATTTGCTAATGTAAGAAAGTGTTGTTCAGGCTTCTTGATAGATTGGAACCTAAGTAGGTACTGTCTCGCTTGAACCTGTGGTATGAAGTTTTTATGTTTTTTATACGGATGCTTTGGATTTTTAATAAATTATCATTAATATAGGACCAGATTTCATGATTTTAATGCAATTACTCGTCCCATACGTAAGCATGAAAATACTTGATAAAGATTCTTATGAACACACAGTTTGCACAAACTGAGTTATCATATTTTTCTTTTGTGCATCACTTTGTGCTTTTCATGTGTGATTTTTCTTGACAGCACTCAATAAGATTTAATATTTTAATCCATTAACAGAAACTTAGAAGTTGTAACTGGAATCTTGGAGAGATTAAGCTAGTATAAAGTTAGTTAGTCACCAAACACTTGGTATACATGAACTGGTGGTGGAGGGCCTATCCTTGCGTCCCTCATTACCTTCCAGCCGGCATGCCGTTATATGTTTTTGTTACACTTTGCATGTTTTATCCAGTGTTCTACTATTATTTTTAGTAATTTTATTATTGAACTCTAATAAATTATAGACAGTTGCTTGAGGCCTGATCTGATTGTAGGAAATAACGAAGAAAATAAAAAAGTTTCTAGCTTTGGAAATTCATAAATATCTCTAGAGCTTGATTCAGCTTGATTATGGGACAACCTAACGCCTTTAATGAATCACATTGGTTTGGTATTTAATGAATTCAGTGTTGAGGAATCACATGCTTGATTCAGTGTTGACCAGTCGGATGTTTGATTCAGTATTTGATGAATCACATTAATCTGCCTGTCGGAGTTTGACCAATCGGCCTAGGTCAACCACCTATCATGCGGCCATATTTTCCAGAGGCCGTTCCTTGAGAAATTGCTGAGGTGCTGGTGCATGACGTGCCCCCTCAGCCAGAATTCCATAATGGCTGTAAAAGTCGAAGAAGAAGCAGATGCTTGACCTATGTGAGTTTTGCCGAAACTGCCCTAATCTTTGGTTTAATTTCGCAAAAGGTCCCCCTATCCATCTTTGGATTTTTGTTTCTTCGAATTTCCCCGAGAGTGAAGACCTTGATGGGTAATATGTGTTTGGGAAGATACACGGCTTCTCTTTTGCATATTTCAGCTAAATTTTTGGGTGATAGTTTCCAATTTAAATTATATTTACTATCATCTCCTTTTGAAGGAATCGTCGGGTTGAGAGAAGTTCTATTTTGCACAGTACGCATTTGTAAAAAGTTGGCAACAAAAATCGGAATGTGTAGCGTTTATGGAGCCTATGTTTTTTTAGCTGCGGGTGTTATGTTGTGTCCTCCTGTAGTGACGGGTCAGCTCAACTGATGTGATGTATAACAGTATAAGTTTTGTTTAGAATTCTTACATTTTGTCCCACATCGGTAACCATAAAGGTTAGTTGCTTTATAAAAATGTTAGAATTTATACATAAAAATTATTTGACCGGATTTGCAAAAAAAAAAAAAAAAAAAAAAAATTACCGATTGAACCTTCGACCGCCATTGACCGGTTTTGGCCACAGCCGGTTTCTTCCATAGAACTGGACCGGTGAACTGGCCGGTTCCCAGTTCAACCAGTCGGATCGGTCGGTCCGGTCCGGTTTTGACAACTATGGTTTCGACCTAAGGAGTTCACGTTTGCTCGAAGTAACGCAAATCTTGGTACGAGTTCATATCATCTTTTGTAATAGATATATTTACACCAGCTCATTCAAATTCAAAATTTTCAAGCAAAATTGTACACTATATTAGTTGAATTTAATGAAAAATAATTATCTATTTTATTTTATACAAAAAACATAGTGATGGATTTGAATACATTTATGATATTCATTTTTACTAATAACAAAATTTTAAAAATGTGACATTATTATTTAACTTATAATTTACAATTATACACATACACATAACTTATAAGTTATAATAATTTAAAAGTTTTGCTATGAATAACAATTTTGCTACGAAAAACTAATAGCAAAACTAAATATAATTTAAATATGAAACGTAGGTATTTTGTAACGAGTGCGCTCAACGTTGTTAGAACACAAATAAACAACTAGAATAGCGGAAGCAATAAATTGAAGATTTAAAAAAACT